ATTTAATATGCAATCTAGACAGTGATCAGCTACGTCAGTCTGTTAGTTTTGAAGGGTAACGGTATGTCTGCGTACCGGCGAGAACGAATGCAGACGGTGTCATGCTCCACATCAGCCAGCAAATAAACTCATCACATTGCAGGCACGCTCCGAGACACTTCCTGCGTGAAAGCCCATTCTGGAGCCTAATGTTGCCACTAGAATAATCGGAAACCTTCATTTCAAAGGACATGCTGTGTCTTTTACGGTATAAAGCGGCGTAATACCGTCCCGCCCGAGGATGGTAATGCGATAGTAAATCATGCCATTGAAGGGCTTAAGAGCGCAAGAGCACACTGTCTCTGTTCGGCTCGCGACGACCCCACGCACTTGTACTAATGGTTAAACAGGAAAGGGTGCCGGCAACAGGATAGCAAACCTTCAAAATTATGATGTGTCGCGCTAAACATGACATTGCTGCACCCTCAAATTTATGCGACCTATGCAGATTCTCGACATGTTGCTCCACAAAACTCTAGACGATTTCCGCTACAGTCATGCTATCGCGTTGTGGCATCAGTAATGGCATCCACCACTCGTCACCAGCGCTCGCGATGCGGTAACCACCCAAGAATGATCGCTCTCCGGTGCAAGTGAAAATTTATTCTTCTCCGCCTCTGAAAAATCCTCGCGATGTAAAACTCAGCACACTCTCGTCGTCCATATTGCCCCTGTATCAACGCATTAGTATGGACGAAATAGGCACAGGCGATGAAGACGTACGACGTGCGATGAAGTGGCTGCATTTCCATCGTCACACCAGTTATTTCACTCCGTCTCCGCTGTTGTATCCGTATAAATGCGGGCACTGCCGTCCTTACCAGTGCACAGCTTTGGCTTACCGTGATTTCCTTTCTGCCAGTGCTTTTGCTTTTCATCGACCGAGCCATCCTCGGCCGAACAGGTGAAGCTTTTCCGTCCGGTAGTTCTGCATTATTTAAGCGGGGTGGTTGGCGGAATATTGTTCTCAAGGTCGGTAGATGTCGAAAAGGATTCGTCCCTGCTCAGGTCGTGGAGTAGATTTGAACAGATGGTTGGCTGGGATGTTCCCAATCTGGAGAACATTGGAATATCGTTTGTAAAGCCGCAGGTTCAACGACCTATTAACAGTTATCAAAGGTTTCTGAAGTCAAATCAGGCCAGGAAAATGAACTGAAAGTCTATTTGGAAATGAACTCAGTGTCACTAAGCAGGGTGTGCTGCGCTTATCAGCTGGAATATAAGACTCGAGGAAGCGTGCGCTTACAAATTGATCCATAGCTTAGGGTATTTGTATAAGAGTTAATGAGTTGGTATAACGAGCGGCGAGATATCGAAAATGGGGTGAGACGGTGGGAAAAGTATTAAATAGACGAGCCTGCCGAGAGAAGCGGAGGTAATGAGGGGAGGCGGGAGAGTAGGGTATTTGAGCCGGCCCTCGTGACGAGATTAGGAAGTGCATTTGGAAACAATTTTGAATTGTAATTCCCAATCTTCTCTTTCCGATAATTGGCCTGTTTCGTATCAACGAAAGGCCTCAGTACTCCGCCAAGGCTCATCCCTCCTCCGTAGACCATGACGCCCTTGAGGAGTTCATGTACTCCGCCCGGATAGGTCCAGGAACGCCCTTCTGCTTTGTCCAAAGTTTTCCATAAAGAATAAATGAGTTCTCCCACCTCGGCCAAATTTTCATCAAGTGCTGCCTTCTCTATTTGCGGACACAAATCCCGTACGACTTTTGAGAGATGAGGGGGTTCGTCAGAGAGCGACGTTCCGTCCAGAATGGGGGCGTGGCCGTGCGTATCTGCAGCAGCCGCAGAGTAACGCGTTGAAGGTCCGAATGATTGAGAGGGGCTGGCGGGTCCGGCAACTTCGTGAAACGTACGGCCATTGGCCGAAGGTCTGGCAGGTCGAGACGGTTCTGTAGATCCGGTTTGCTCTGCGCGCCTGTAAGCATGCGAAGACGTCGCCATACAGGAGAGATATGCTTCTGATTGTGCTATTATAATGGGGTAGTTCTTCGATGGGTATTGCTGAACCGCCGGGAGATGCACTTCAGAATGAATACTCCCTGAACTTGCCCAGGCCCGACTGTCAGCAGTGCCAACAGAACCATATCTCTTCCTTCATACTCTTGAATCCGTTTTTAGAAGCCATGGCAACGTGAAACCCTTACCCACGGCATAGAGCAATTTAGTATAAGTGGGACAGAGGCTCCAGCGGATGGACTGGCCACTCAAACTCCCGTAAGAGCAAGCATCGCGGGCACTTGGCCTGGATGAGCTGGACACGACTCAACTTTGGGAAGTGGAGAACCCCAAGGAACCCACAACAACACGGCAAATATGCTGCCCACTTTTGGTCGCGAAGGCTATTAGGAACTTTCGTATAAGCAAATAAAGATCCTCGATTGAGCGCCAATAAACTAAGATTCTTCGGCCCTAATTCCTGGAACCATTGAGGTCCATTGAGAGCGATGTTAAAGAAAGGGAAATTCGTCCAGCGACGGCGTGTACTGAATATTCTCCCGGCAACAGGGTGCTTTCCTTACCGTAAGTGTCTGGATGTAGGTCTTCTCTATGCACGGTTTCCGATCGGTTGGTGGCACCGAGAACTCTTCATATTAGTCTGCGAGATGAGAGTATATGGTGCTTTGTTCAGGACGTAGGGGAAGCAGCTAAAGGGTCACAAACAAGATATACCATATCGCCAACTACGCTTTCACTTAGCTCTCGTGGCCTTAGCTTCGATAATGGCAAAATCAACCATCTACGGCCATGTTGACAGGTCGGCAGACAGAAACGGCTAGTCTTTCATTTGCAGCGTAGTGGTGTTGCGGTACCAGGTTGGATTCGAGCGCGAGCCGCACGAGTGGACCTCATTGTTCCAGTCCTCCTCTTCCTCGACGCCACAGGTCAGATATTATAGCAACTCTCCAGCTACAAACCCCTCACACTCCGATATCTATTTTCCCTTGATACCGGATCCAGGCTCTATCATCGCCCAGGCCAACCGGCCCAGCTTGCGTCAAAGCATTGTTTCAACCAGCATCTTGGGCGGTTTGCCCCGTTGTGTCCATTTGGTCTGTGAACATCCTTCGCCTTTTACCTCATCACGATTCGTGCGGCCAGCCTGCTGGAAGCATCTGAGTTTTTGAGGGGGACCGTTGTATTGAGCGGAAGAACAGAAAAGCACAGGAAGGGTTGGCATCGAAAAAAATTGAGTTGTGCATTTTCTGTTTCGTATGTAAAGCTTCCGTGCCCGAGCTATGTATTGGAGAACAGACAACGGTGTCGCCTCGCGCTGATATTGATGTTTGGCCTGGAAGCTGCCCGGCATCCTAGCCTTGCATCGTGGCAAGGAGCATCAAAATATGAGAGTACCTGTTCTTATACTCGCAAGAGCCGGCTGGGATGGAGTATAAATCAATCAATCAATCAATTAAAGAGAGACTCGCTCTCATACAACTCGCGCATTGCTATAAAGTTAGAAGTAATATAAAAGAAAAAAAAAAAAACTAGGTGTCGTCTCTTAGCTTATTTTCCTCAATTTGTTCAATTGTTACGACCACCTTTCGATTATATAGGCCGCTAACTCGTGTAAGAACTGCTGCTCGCATCTTTCCTTCCAGCCTCATTCCCTAGCACAATCTCGGCAGCGGCCTCGACTACGCCATCGCGCTTATATCTTCGCCCTTTCTCAGACGTACGCTCTCGTCTACCCTCGATATCGAGTCCACCATCACCATTCTTATGCAATCGCGGTCCGTTAACTATACTACCTACCCCCTTCTCCGCCTACCATCTATCTACATAAGCATCGAGACGAAGGCTCCCGAAGCTGATTTAGTTATGCGAAAATATAACTGGCAACATGGAAGACCGCATATCTACGGTGCCTTAACTGTCTACATGACTGTCTACATAAAGCATCGTGAAAAAAAGAAAACATGGCCAGCTCTTCCATATCTTCCTCTGGTCCTCGCCATCGGTGCTTACTGGGGCCTTTACTTCCTTAAAATGAGCAAAAAGGGCGAGGTTACTATGATTGGTATTTAGTCGTTGGGAGCTCGAAGCATGGTAGAATCATCTTCCTCTTGGATTTTAAGTGCATGTCCGTTGATATTCACCTACGGTATTCTTTTTCCATCCTCGTGTATCTACCCTTCTTTCTCTTCGTCGGCTCGTGTTAATTTAACATGCATATCCAGAATAATGCTTCAATTACTTTCCACAACAGAAGATTCCATTCAATGGGCATTCGATAATTTCACTCTCATTTGCTCCAGTTCATCTCATTTACCTTATTCGACATGGCTATGGAAGTCGCCCTCATCGCAGCGGCGCACTGCCTCAATAAAGGCGTCGACCTTGTTCTTAGGAGCAGCAGAATTTTCTGAGGCGTCTGAAACGACGTCCCAACGGCATGCGTCGCATTTTCCGCCTTCCTGAACACCCACGAGCAGGTATGATGGACGAGGTTCACGGAGGCGTTGACTATTTATGGTTTGCTCATGTTCGTAGTGCGAATCAGATGGCGTGCATCCTTGATGTGGGCTGTAATGGAAATGAGAAGGGCCTGGGCGAGGATGAGTTCGCTCTGGGCTTACTCGAGGTCATCTATAGTGCTTCTGGGGGATCTACGCTCGTCGTGCGGCTCGATGGGTGGCCTGGCTCTTGGCCAGACGAGACGCAGCTGAGAGCGTGTGTGAAGAGGTAGGACGAGAGTTACGCCAGCGGGTCGACGGCCACCATGTGTTCCACGTCTGCACCGACTTGTTGGAGGGCTCGTGCATGTCGTCAAAAGCGTCCTTGGCCATGCCTCGGCATACATCTATCTCGTCGTGGTGTATGAGCCTCCGCACCAACTCAAAGCGGCGGTCTGTGGCTTTGACCACGTCATGTACGTACCCGGTAGGACTCCTGCAGCAGGCTGCTGTCGATGTAAATGAGGGAGGCCTGGCACTTGTATGCCAGTTCCTACTACTTGTAGTAGCGCGCGAGCTCGGGGTCGTTGTCCGGCAGGGAGAGCAGGCGGCGGAAGAAGACCATCATCAGGCGGCTCAAATGCCGCGGCCAGGGCCCCTAGTACAGGATTACTTCGACCAGCGACATGTCGAACATGCACCTAACATATACAGCCATGTAGCTGATCTGCTCATAGTCTCTGCCAGACCGATCTGTATTTCCGACAACTACTCCTATCTCACGTCCGAAACATCCGCCGAAATGCCGTTCAACTCCTCGTCATTGCGGAATACCGTGTATTTTTCTTTTCTTTTCGGTGTTGTTGGCAACGAACTGCAGAGTTTGAGGTAGTGTGCAGGGACGCAAACAATGTTCATGGCGACGTCCAAATCCTGCCCCAGTTTCGTCAGCGTGAACAGATCCTTTCAGCGGCATTATTCTGCCGGCTTCCAACGCTTCTACGCACTGCTACGGCGTTCTCCTGCTGGATGAAAGCGGGTTTGCGCGGCGAGTGTCTTGCGAGGAACTCTTCGGCCATGTTCGCGTTGTGGTGGAAAAGGCTGAGAGGGAGAGCGATGACGACGATGCGGACAAAGAAAAAGTTTGCCAAAGCTTCACCAGTTTTACGTCTCGTGAAACGCCTAACAGCGTGACGGTATTTTCTCGCTTAGCTAGCATAGAACAAGTCTTTGTCGAATTAGCACAGGCTCGCAAGAGCTAGCTGGGACGGAGTATGAATCAATCAATCAATGAATCAAGTCTTTGTCGAAATTAGAACAATGAAGTAATTCGCACATTTTTCTGCAACAACGCGTTGTTTTATTTGCTCTATCCAGGTGTATGTAGAGGATGTAGGTTGGGTTCTGTAACGACAGAAGCGATCAGTTCTCTAACAGGGCTCGGCTCTGGCGATGCATCGCCTTGGCAACGACAGTCACTTGGCTGATTTAATGTAGTTTGCGCTGGAATACTTCCTTCGCACTGCGGACGCGTTATCGCCTGCTTGTTGTGCAGAGAAGGCCTCTGTGCAGTTGAATATGCTTGCACACCCGGGCAAGCTGGTTGCGTATTGTTTGACTGTTTAGTCACGCGTTTGCTGTTTTTCCGACAACCATCTCATTTGTAGACACTGTTTTACAAGTAGATAGTTCTAGTCAGTTTGACTGGTTGGTGATGCCTACTTAAGCAAGGCTTTGGACTGGTTAGCAGGACTAAGCAACGGAATCTCATCTTCCCTAGGGAGGTCCTTTCAACTTATACTACATATTCAAAACCAGTTCTCTTATATAGAATACGAACTACGAGCCGCCATGTCTGACCGAAATTCTGTGGCTGAGATGTGTCTCCAATCTTTCTTGTCCAGCCACATCCGCAACGGTAATATGCCACCCCAGCCAGAAGGCGTCAAACCTTCGATGGTTCCTGTCTTCTAGTCTGCTTACCATCGATTTTAGCATCCACAGCGCTCAATGTGCTTCCCAACTGGGACCGGGAAAGGCTCATGCTGGCAATGGCGGGCTGGGGCGGGAGCAGTACGTGGGAATGGAAGAGAGTGCAGCATCCGCAGCGACAAGTAAGACTGAAACCCTCCGAGGTGACGGCGGAGACGTGCAATAATGGGAAGCAACTCGTACTAATACATCCAACACAGCTTGGGCTGGGCAGATGGTATTGTATAGCAAAATGCGAAAACAACTTCTCTGTCAAAAAACATCCACCGAGGCTCCCCATCTTCATAAGCCCCGGGACTCTCGATCCGATTCCAACGACACTGCGCAAGCAACACATTCCAGCAGAGCCCAGATATACCAAACCCTCCCACCTCAATCCAACAATCTCGATTCAGAACACCATGTCGCACAACACCACCCTCTCCGATACCAACTCCCACGGGTACTTCTGCCAGGGAGTACGCACCAACGGCAGACCCTGCGGAAGCCGCATCAGCGAGGAGAGATGGGTCCGATACAAAGTCCAGTACTGCTTTTACCACGAGGACCAGGCGACTGAGACGACGGTTCCTCTCGCGGAGTACCAAGCGCTCGAGGCTCAGCTTGCAGACACCAAGGATCAGCTCGCAGACACTGCGACTCGGCTCGCAGACACCGAGACTCGACTTGAGCAGCAGAAGGACCGGATGGCGGCCACCGACGAGCACTGCGATCAGCTCGTGGATCAGCTTGAAGGGGCCAGAGAGGAGAACCAGGGACTTCGAAGGCTGGTGCTGGAGGTGGGCGGCGCGAACAAGAAGCTCGCCAAGCTAAACCAGAAGCAAAAGAACCAGCACAGTCTGAATGAGCAGAGGCATCAGACCCAACATGTCGCAGCTCAAGAGAAGATGAGGGAGGACCATGCGGCAGCCGAGCAGAAGACGAAGGAGGAGTTTGCCGCAACCGAGAAGAGGCTCAGCGACCAGCATCATGCCGAGCTGATGGCGCTGAGGCAAGAGATGGATGCGCTGCGCACGGAAAACCAGATGCGCCGCTATGTGTGCGACAGGCTGCAGGAGACGAACGATCGTCTGGTTCGCGACCTTACGAACACCAGGTCGGCTCTGGCTGACGCCGAAAAGAATGTCGCTCAGCAAGCAGAGAGCAACAGTGAAGTGGACGAGGTCTGCAGCAAGATGTCTGAAGCCAGCATCGCCACCGAGGCGGACGATCTTGCTGAGGCTAGCGACACCACCAACGCTTGACGGCTCCATGGCTGGTGCTGCCCTCGCGTTTGCTGGGGTGATAGGCCTGAGCTGGGCTTTCGGAGATTAAGGGAGAGCCTTGGAGAGGTAGCGATAGTAAGTATTCCTGAGCATTAGTTGAGCGATTTTGCCTTATCAATAGTATTGACTTTTTCTCTATTCCAGAAAGTGAAGCGACGAGTGACTATATATTGCTTGAGAGTGTTTCCAAGCAGAAACCGAGTTCGTCTCCCTGAATTCATTGCCAGATGGGAGCAGCTTCAAATGTATTCCCATCGTCTATATAAAGTACTAATCACAAGCGCCGTGGTTCGAGCGTCGATCTTCAACGATGTGCAGGACGACGGCCAATGCCACGGAATCTGCGTCAACGGCAGGCGGTCCGTCAACCACGTTAACAGTTACCGAGATGCAACTGGCATTCAGGAAGTAGCGAATGGCTCCGACTAGTTGAAGTCGGGCTTCCATGCAACGGGCTCTGACTTGGGGGAAGGCGGGACCTGATCTTCATCGTCACTGCTGCTGCTGCGATGCGAAGCTGAAGCGACCATCGAGGAAGACCCCAACGAGGACGTCGACATGGACATGGGAATGGGCATGGACGGCCCGGCCTCGGACGATGAGGAAAACGGCGCTGCGAAGTGTTAGCTGCAGATTGTGCGGTGATACTGCCTGCTAACACCCCACCACTGCTGCTTCATTTCCTACAAGCCCTTCGTATAACACAACCACGTCGACGGTCTGTTCATATACAATCACAGGCCATGCGGGAACATTCACTGGCCCTGGGCGGTTACATAGACTTTACTTCGAGCACCCACCCACTCCTCTCCTCCTTCTCATCAACATCCACCGCGCCAACCCCAGTTCAACCCGAAGCACCAAGTAGACAACACCAGCCTCCTACAAGAACACCTACTTCGCGCCAGCCGCCCGGAAACCACATCCATCTATCCCTCTTATACTCCTCATCTACATATACCCCCTCTACTCCTCATATACATCTACCCCCTCCACTCCAACGGCATCAAAATGACCACCATCAACCTCAACATCAACATCAACGGCGCTGCGCCCGCTAACCTTGAGGCGCCACGCCAACTCGACATGGCTCCTTCCCACATGCCTGTCGAAAATGTTGGCGCGGTCCGCCCACAGCCTCCTGCTCCGGTGAGGGAGTTCTACCCGTGCCAGGGTACAACCCGCAAGGGGAAGGCGTGCGGAAACGTCATCAAGCACGACAAGTGGGTTCGCGGCGTCCACTTCTGCAGCCACCACCGCGGCGACGCCGCGATCGAGGAACTCGAGCAGCTCCGGGCCCGGGTGCAGCAGCTGAGCACCGACAAGGCCGTGCTGCAGTCCAGGGCCGACACGGCGGAGGAAAGCACAAGGAGGGTCCTTAGCGAGCGCGACGAGGCCCGCCGTGAGCGTGACGAGACCCAGGACCGTGCCGCCGGCGAGCTCGCCAGGGCTCGAGGCAAGATTGAAGGTCTGACCGTCGACATCGCCAGCAAGGAGCGAGAAAGGTTCAATCTCGTCGTCGCCGCCCACTTCACCACGCAGAATGCCCGCTCGGAGCGCGAACACTGGACCAAGGTGATAGAAGTGTTGCAGGCTGAGAATCAGAAGCTGCGTGAGGACCAGAAGCGCACAGCCGGCGAGCTCGCTGCCCTCAGTGAGGACAAGCGTTTCCTTCTCGCCAGAATCACCGCCGCGGATGGCAATACGGCGAGGGCCCGCAGCGAACGCGATCAGGCACGCAAAAGCCTCGACGGCTCCCAGACCCAGCTCGCCGACGCCCAAGCCAAGCTCGCCGACTCGCAGTCCAAGCTTGTTTCAGCTAGGAAGACGGAGGACGAGCTAATCACTTATAGCGACGACCTCGAAACCAGAATTGATGCCGCCGAGTCCACTACGGAGAGGGTCAGTCGTGAGCGTGACGAGGTCCGCAAAGAGCGCGATGAACTCTGCCGTGAGCGCGACGAGCTCCAGCGAAGCCTGAGCGAGGCCCAGGATCGTGCCGCCAGCGAGATTGCCAGGCTCAACGAGGACAACCGATTCCTTCTCGCCAGGGTCGCTGCGGCAGACAACAACACGGCGAGGGCTTGCAGCGAGCGGGATGAGGAGAGAAGGGCAAAGGCAGAGGTAGAGGCACAGAACGGAGAGCTGGTCAGCGCGCTGCAGCAGAGAGGCGAGGAGATCACTCTCGCTCAAAAGACTGTGGAGGAGCATGGCGAAGAGTACCTGCGCACCGTTCGCGGCATCCAGGCCAATATGGAGGAAAGATTGAAGATTTGTCGCCAAGACCTCGACGAAGATACCTGACAGACCGAACTCTAGTCAGCAGAATTCGCCATCGCCTGGATCAGCGTCTTCCAAGCCTATGTTTGAGCGCGCCTGCTGCTGGATGCTGTCGTTGACGCTGAGGTTGCTGAGAGCTCTGGGAGAATGACATGGCGGACAATGTGGTTACTGGTTGGGGAGCGAGGCAGGGATTCTGGGAGTTGTGATATTATTTGATTCCAATGTATAGCATTCTTAATTCGAACATGGTTTTTGGTTTTCTGCAAAGCTACAACGTACAGCGAGATGTTCTCTTCTGCGATGAAATTAGTGGGACTGTTCCAGGAAGGCGAAATAGCAATGAGCTACTGCGAACCAGGTCACTTTAAAACAAAGGGCGGCGCGAGGCCATCAGGTGATGATATAATCTAGTGTTGGAGCCTATACTGTCCCGTTTTGTTCAACAGGAGCATCAATGCTATCGTGATTGGGCCGCACCCAGTCCTTTCTCGTCCTGTCAAGGACATCAGAAACACGCTGAGCTATGAGATGGTCCGCCTTGCGAGCGTCGGGTGACCAGTGGGTGTACGAGTCGGAGTGAAAGCCGGGGCCGATCTGTTGACCGGGCTCAATGCGGAGCTACGCTTTCGGATGAGGGGCAGCAAGAACCTTAGAGCCTCCAAGACGTCGCCTTCCTGGAGATCCTGGACTGCACATCCAGGTCACCCAGTAAGCAATCATCAGGCTGGTGGCCGCATCTCACATCAGAGAGCTCCACTTTACTGCCATCAGCGGCTGCTTGCGGCTTGCTATAATCGCCATCCACTCGCTCGAGAAGGACGCGGATCTTACAACCCGTCTAGAAGCCTGACATAGCGGCAAGAAGGGCAGTCATCCACGCAATTGACAGCACCAGCGGCAGTCTCCAGAAACTGCAAGAGGAATCAAGGCAGTGACGGGGAAAAGGGACAGCGTATTCGGAGCTGTGTCCGTCTTGCTGGTAAGATGATCTCGGAAAGAGGGGAAAAAAGACAACAACGTCTCGTACATGTACCACCGCTAGCTGCACCCGCTTCTAGCGTCTTTGACAATCGGGACTTTGGAAAGCAGCTCGCGTTCGGCCTCGCCAGATCCATCATGTCGACCTGAACGGCAGCGACATGGGACCCACGGTTTGTAGTGGACACCGATGTGGAATTTCCAACGTTACAGTTGTACACCACCCTGATCGAGCATCACGGCACTCTGTGTATCAGCCGGTACATCACAGGCGATGTGGCCAACCGGGACTTTGAGCACTATTTTAAAGAGAAAATACTAATCTAGGGTGGAGTTTCCTTGGACTTCTAAGAGGTCAGGCGCGTGGATGACTGCTTCTTTGGAAGGATATAGCTAAAATACATGGATGTGTCAATCGAGGCACAAGCGCATGGATTCGACATGTAGTGGAGACAGCGGCGACTGGCATGACTGCAGTGCTGAAGGCCGCGACGCAGGATGAACCGCCATGCTTAAGACCACGGTTAAGGAGTTTTTAATGACGGGCTTCTCCAAGCTCGCGATACTGCCCGTCGAGAGGATGGTGTGCGGGCAAGCCGTCGGCGTTCTGCGGCGTGGAATAAATTTCGTGCAGACGTCTCGATTTTCGGGGCTGTTGGATCAGAGCCATCTATTTAACGTGCTCGAGGCGCAGGTCTTCAAACTTACAGATCTGGAGTTGAAGGTTTTAGCCACCGCTCCCCTCTCCCAACCAACCCGGAGATAGCATATTCCCGTTTTGTCCAACTTTGTGTCCTACGTTACAACTAGTTGCTTAATGAGAAGCTTAATGTGCACGGCTTAAGGGTTGCAGTTTGGCTCTTTACCACAACTTGAGACTCATTTCCTCATGTTCTTTTTACATGTATCTTGATTGGTAATCAAATGAGACAGCTCGTAGGGGGGCTGGAGCGCATACGCGGACGCAGATGTGTATTGAACAAAGCAGATGTTTACTTTTAGCAGTGAACTCTCTTTGTCGCACGCCATGCTAATGCAGCCGTACTTCTCAAGCTGTCAACGCCTCGGGAAGTCGGATTCTGATCGATTGGCGTAAGTTTTACACCGCAAGGTTTGTCGATGAGCGCCAGCCAGTGCAAAGAAAACAGCGCGAGGTTGATCGAGAGAATAATACCTACCAAACGTCCCGCGGTATAACGGCGACTTTCGGACTGCCTATGGTGTCAGTCCTTCCGGCCGCGGGCGTGGCGGCAGAGTGACCCCGCTGCTGTTGTTACCAATTGCCGGATACTACTGCAACTGCTGGATTAGTGACAGTTTGGGACTGATTGTGGCCATTTGCCGGTGGTAAGCTGCGAGCGTCGGCGACTGCTGAGCGATAGGGGAATATTTCCGGCTCGGCGTTGCAGGTGTTGGCGATTGTAGCCCGCGTGCCGCATTGCCGCCCTCTGATGGGAATGTCTTAGGCGCTGATGAGAATGAGTTCGAAGAGGGGTGATTAAATACACGTGATAGGTTCCCCAGATGGCAGCGCAGAAAATTGCTTGCCTGCAATCCAGCTACTTTAATCGAAAAAAAAAGAATTTGGGAATTAATGGCGCAGCGTGCTCTATAGTATCATGGCCCCCTCACTTCTTGCTACATTGCTGACTACCTTGACCGTGGTATTTACCCGTACTAGGTGCGATCCGTACACCGCAAACTGAACCGTGTATTTATCGTGATGTAGTAGGCGGGCTTCTAAACTTTGTTTCCGTTTAAATTTATTTTCTGTAATTGGGGGTCCATCTCCCTGATGGGTTTTGATTTATGTACTATGCAATGCCAACTGTGTGTACAGCTATTTTACATTAGGATAAGTTTGTTCTGTCGGGAAGGAGGCGACGGTATTTCGTGCCCTTCTCTTTTGCAGCTCAATCGCGTAATGCTAATAGGCATTTGCGATAAAGGAAGAATAATCCGTCTGTAGCTGCCTCGAGGGCACCAATCCCATGTCTGTTGAGCCGACTCAAGACGCGTTTTTCCAAGCGCTCCATGCCGCCGACCAAAGACTTGGCTTGTTTAGGCTCTAACATGCTTGTCTCCGTGGCCATCGCTTACATGGAACAAATACGCTAGGGTGTACGATTGCTAAATACGAGCAAACACTCCTAATAAATGTCTGGCGTTTGATGAGGCCATGAACCTGCTGACCCGGCCCGAGCGGTGCAACTATTGGTGGAAAGATAACCGCATTCTAGAACGTGGAGGAGAACTTTGAACACGGTTTTCCTCCCTTTCCATTACGCTAAAAACCGTCCGGGTCTACGTAAGCCACGTGTTTTCCTTGGATTTTCTTTATTCCTCGTCCTTCAGATCCTCAGCGTTATGACAATGGAGACGCATCTCCGCGTGAAACCGTAACGACTTTATCCTCCAAACAATTTAGCCACTAGATCGAAGAATTTAGGCAGCACTACAGCCACTCTAAGGATCGGTTTGACTGTCTAAGTCCGTTAACTCGGTAATACTTTGCGACATGCACGGTACATTCTTACTAAAATGTTTAGTTTGAATTCGTCGGGTAGTACTTTCGTCGTTTTTTTGGTGTTCTCTTAACAACTACCCGGCGAACCCGTATTAAATTTAGTAAGAATGCACCGTGCCAGCCGCGAAGTATTGCATGCATACAGTCAAACCGATTCTTGGAGTGGCTGTAGTACGTAGCATTTGATACCCGCTGACAAGGTACGGAACATTTGAAGGATAAAAACATTTTCCGTCCCCAGACTGCAACTACAAAGAAACCATACACAGCTCGCTTATGCAAGCAGACGCTCTCTAGGTATTGAATAGAAAACTGACCAGCAATCACTCCATCAGCTGCGTGGTTGGGCATGGGCTTTCCGCACCACATATCTGTTGCCAGCCGCTTCTGGAGGTCCACAGGCCATGCCATCCGTACGTGTTCCCTTGGATGATGACGATGTTGACGTAACCTGAGAGGGACCCTGCCCGCGTTGAGAAACAGATTTCTTTACCAGGCTTGAGACGCAAAGAACCCATTCACGCAGACTTCCCCCGAATTCCCCAGAAATCCTTAACTCCAAGCCCAATCGCATTCACTTGGGCACTTTCTTTGGAGTTTCAGCGGTGCAGCTCCCAATTAGAATACAATTCTCCCGCTTCAGCTCCTCCGATGAACAACTCCCATTCTCCCCTGAACACATTCGGTAGAACCGCTCGCATGGCACGTTCAACACTGTTGTCTGCAGCTGGCTGCCAGGCGAGGTTGGCTGTGAGTACCAGAGCAGCACATACTTATTGTAGAACCGCGATGGGAATACGGCGATGAAGCGTCGACGGAATGGGCGAGCTAGCGCTTCACCTGTCGTCGCAGGCACGAAGCATCAGCAAATATGCGACAGTAGAGCCGCCGGCAATTATTGGTGCCCGTAGGATTGCGCCGGGTGAGTTCAGGGCGGCGATGTGTTGGTGGCGCGCTCAAAGAGTCCGCAGGTTCGCCATCGACTCAGTTGACTTCCTTGGCTGCCACACAAGACCTGCATTTGCTTATCTTATTGGTTGCTGAAGCTGTCGTCCGGACTTGTATGTAGAATTTTAAACTCTACACTCTCTTCCGGACAATAGTTTCAGCTACCCATATTAGTTGCCTGAGCTTGGGGTGTTGAGGAATTGTGACTCGATGGCCGACGAGGCGGTTGGGGGGTTCGCAGACGGTCGGGGGATTCCCGACGTTGAGCTGGTAATAAGTTGCTCCATTTTGGAACCCGCCACCGCAGAAAGGGTCGATGAAAAAGCGTTGCCGTGTGCCCTGCTGATGAAGTTAATGAACGCATTGGAGACGGCACCGTGGAGCTCCCACATGGCGAGCGAGTGTAGAATTATCGCATGTGAACAATTACTGTGGTGGAGCACAAAGCAGCCTCTGACCGAGGCGATAGAAGCAACCCTTGATGTGTTCGATTTGTCATCCTGATCGCGCCTTCCATATTCCTACGTGACGTGCAGTCCACAATCCTCGAACACATGGATAGAGAAATACTCAACCTCAGAACAACTTCTCCAACAATTTCACACTAATCGTTACATCTGAACCTAAATCACATATTCACCATATCAATCAAGGTAGAAGACCCCACGAAGCCTCCCGACAAATGAAGCAAGCTCACAATTCCTTAGAAGGGCGCCCAAGCCTCCTCTTCACTCCCGGCCGAGATCTCGGGCTGGGAGGTGATCTCTCTAGGCGGGCCGGAGCTGCGTAACGGTGACGGGAAGACGAAGGGGAGGCGACTCTTGAAGGACGACGGTCACGATATGTTGGATTTGGAACTTGATGAGCTGGATTCTCTCTTGGAGCCGAAGGACAACAATGGCGGCAACGGAAAGAATAAACGACGGGAGGTGATACTGCGGCAATGCCAGCGTTATCCTCGGCGGCAGTGGCAGCGAGGCGAACCACCCGATGGTGATTCGACCCTTCGGGGCTGCTGGCGTAGGATTGCGACTGCATCTGGCTGGTCGGGTTAACACACTTGACCCGCAGAATCCGTGGCAGCGAGCATGTCAAAAGGCTAATGACATGAAAGTGCTGGACTTCATTTTCCGCTTCGCCGACGCGGAAGACTGGTATTATTCTTTCCTTAGTGTGTTACTCTTTCCTTACCACTTCCGCTTCTCGCGCGAACTGATTGGCTGTCAAGAAACGGTAACACTTGGTGCGTTCCATTCACCGTCTTGATCGTTCCTTACATTGTTCGTGCAGCCCGCCATCCTCGACCGCGTGGATCCATAAATACCTACCCTCCTCTCGATCAACTCTGCACCATCGCTCGTCAATACATCCAGGAAACATGCCGCCTTCCAACAAGGCCGATGGCCCCGTCACTCCCAAGAAGGGCGCTTCCAAAGTTTCCTCTTCCTCACCGCTGGGTGAGAGCGGCCACGACGATGACACCACCGGTTGGGAAATAGTGTCTGCACAAGGACCCGAACTACCGAACGGAGGCCTTACAGAGGACGAGAATTCCAACGCGATCCTGAACCTCGAGCTCCACGATCTAATCGCCCTACTCGAGCCCAAGAACCACAGCAGCGGCGACAAAAATCATACAATCAACACACAATCATACTGGACTGGTTGGGCCATGTCGCCTATCCGTTTCCTTTCTCACTTTTCTTTTCTCTAAGAGCAGTTCCTCGAGGAACTGCGTTCTTCTTTCTTTCCAGTTGAGCCACTAACAGACCTTTTGACCCACACATTGCTACACCCATCACCGCTCTGGTTAGCTTTGCTCCTCTCCACCTCCAACTCTTCTTCAACCCAAGCTCCAGCTCGTGTCAGCACCACGCACCCCCTCGCCTGTCTGGTACTTGATCCGGACCTCCTTCTCAACCTCTGGCGCTCAACTGGCACCCACCTCTCCTCAGCTTCTGCGTAAGTCTTACCCTAGCCCATCACCGGTCCTCGTTCCTGCTGGAGTAAGGCTGACATTGCAGCAGCCCTGCACAACAAGAAAGTCACCATCGTCTGCGCAGACCTCGTCGCCCCTACCCCCTGCTCTACGTCGACCGCGACTCCAAGCGCAAGAACTACGGCGTCTCCGGCTTCCGCGAAACATGAACGCTGCCTGGCGCTGGTTAGTGTGGATCGCGTGTGTGCACCGTCGGCCTGGCACCGAGAAGACTGACTACGGAGTAGACCGCAAGTGGGTTTCAGCCTCGTATGGGCCCGGCTAAAGTGGGCGAAAAACTTTTGCTTTGGTGGTTGAAGGACTTTTGGCTCGGGTGGTTTAAAAGGTCTAGCTGGTTTTGATGATTTGAAAGGTTTGGTTGCGGCGAGTAATTTTTGGGCTATGGAGATTTAAAAGTTCTTACTTTGGCAATTCAAAAGGTCTATTTCCGGCCAGCTCGGACCATGTACTTGCTGTCGTAATACGCCACAGCTAGTAGCTCAAGCTGTGACTGACGCGCTGCTGGCTGAAGAAATGTCAAGAATGGTGCGCCAGTGAGCTTGGTAAATGATGACAATCCAGGTTGTTGACAGCGGAAGTGGCTCCCCATCCGGTGATTCAATTCTGGAGCCGAAGCTGGATGGAAGCCGATGAGCGACGACGTTGAACAAGTAGTTTTCCCCGATCCGAGCATATCATCAATCTCCAGCTGCATCGGCTGCGGCAGGGTTAAAAGCGTTTTTTGAATACATTGATAACACCCCGCTCTTACTCACTGATATTTTCGCTGGGGGATGGATAACGTCCGGGATCGGCGCCGGAGAAAACGTCTTGAGGAAGTGTTTGACTTCAGGTAGCATTCCTGGTGATGCGGCACTAAGACGCTTTCAAAGCCTCCGCCATGAACGTCTCAGATAAGTGGGGAAAGACTACCACCTGCAGTGTTATCAGGGATGCCATCACTGTGGATGCTGCCAGTTTAATATCTAGCAGCGATTGGCCTGCATACTGAACTCGAACACCGTTCTGGCCGAGATCGACGGAACCGCAGTTGACATTGGGATCGTTCTGCAGCATTCGGAAATTGACCATACTAAAGATGAGAGACAGCAGACACCTCACGCTGAAGCAGCTACGTTGGTGGTGAGGCAATTTACGAAATAAAATCCATTGATAGTGGCAGGTGGTCTCACCCCGCTACCAATGCAAGACCATTTGCGCTGTGGACGAATGGTGATGGTCCGTAACTGAGAGTGTGAACAGGTTGTGTATTGACTTTCCGAAGCAAAAAACCTAAACACCCATATTTTGCGGCATGATCACCCGGTTCAAATGGATGGACGCGCTGCGAGGCATGCCTGCCTACGATATAGTCCATCCACCTTGCGAAAGCGGGTGATCAAGCCTCAAAGTCCTGAGCGAGGTGCCCATTCAGAGAGATTTTCGACCATGCATGCACAGCTACAAGGTCGTTTAGCACAGTTGTAAACGAAGCCTCGGCCTCAAACAAACACCCAGAGGCTGTGTTCAAGCTCCAGTGCGACTTCAGCGAAGGTCGCTCCTTGTGGGAGGTGATGATGGCGTCTTCGACCACTGGTGGCTAGGAACGGGTTCCCCGCGGATGGCGGGGAAATAGGCGCTGCTAACGTCGAGGAGGTCTCCCTTGGAGTTTCTTTAGTTGCGGGTTCCGTGGTGTTGTGCAATGACTACGATTGAAGGCGCATAAGAAACATGGCTATGTAGTTTGGGATGTTGATGTGGTTTCTCCCCTGGACTGATGAGGAGTCGGACTCCCTAGAATGGATTTCCTTGAGCTCCATGCCCCATGGAACACCAGGGACAGATGGGGGGTGTGTTTCGTGTACACACTTTGGATTGTGTGTGAATAGGTTGCTAGGAAGGGACAAAATCACAAGGCCAGGTGTATGGGAGGCGGTAGACATCCTTAACCGACTTCTTAAGTGCACTAAAATTAGTTGTAAAGCAACTGAGATGGCTTTTCACGCTTGTAAGGAGTAAATTGAAACTCGCGATCGCGTAGCCCGTGTTCCCGATTATTTACGCTATAAGTACGTGAAAGCGCACTTTGCGTACATGTGTTCCTAGCTGTCATTATCTGCTAGCCATATAACTCTCGTACAACGACCTTATAGCACTATTTCAGAAAGATCCTCTATAGTGGGGGTGCTCTTGCCAATTGTCTCGAAGTGACACAGGGAATCCCATATGCCAGCTCACTTAAGTGGTTGAAGCACAGTTGGGAATACCGCTATCACGTATTGCTATAGTCAACGTCCACCATCTCACTAAACCATGGACTGTCTGCGCAGACAGCGAGCTTGTTGCAACGGTGAAGCTCTTGCGTCTTGTATTATAAATATCCGGAAGTTTGGGTCAGGGCCTTAGTTGCGGGCTAGCACCAAGCTTGGTGGCCATATATATGGCATAAAACCTGTCAGACTCTGTATATCGCGAGATGGTATTTGATAAGCTTTCTATGATCTGTTCATGATGCTTCAGTGGCGAGAAAGTTGACCGACCTGAAGAAACACTTACGTATACTGGGTGCACTTACTTTCTTTCGCCGCCTTCTCAAGATAATACCTAGAACGTATAGAGGCAGTAGTGCTGCTGAGCAGAGAAAGAGAGCTCATCGCCTGCGACCGAGTGGGCTCCGATGTTGAGAGCTGACAAAAGAGGTAGTGATTGGGAAAGAACAACGGTAGTCTTTTCTAACTACGGGACATCAACCGGATATATATATTGAATTAGTGAAGCTTAAACCCGTGACTAGCAAGTGCCTTGTCATTTTAACACTCGAGACATCCGCCGCCACGGTCGGTTCCACTATGAAGAATTATATAGAGACCTGGGAGTACACCGATGGCGCAGCTCCTCGGAAGAACGCCAATGAACCTTTCTCTACATGTCTACCTTCATCAATACGGCGTTGGCCGCGACGACGCTTCGGTGACGGTATAGATTATGTACACTCCGTTCAAACTTGGCAAGGTTGTGCCTGGAAGAATCACCGACGATACGGCTCCTGGCCCACTTCTAATTTACTCCTCTCCGACATTAGTAGGCCATGTGGGATGATTCATGCCGTAGGTGATGGCAAATAGCTCACACAGGCTGAATTGAGGAAGCGCGGGGCTGGTGCCTCTTTTGGGGCTCCTACCGAGGGCAGCTCTTCGTTGGTCGTCACCGATGCTGCTCAGGTTCCGCCTACCTTCTCTCAAGTGCCTGAGAATCCCCAACACGTGCGCAATGTCCCACCCGCACCTCAACCACTAGGACCAGCTTCATTGCTGCTCTGAAAGCCGCACTACCAGCTCCACACATCCTGTGCCGAGCTCTTTTCGCGCTCGTCGCTCGTCGCACTCTCAACCTTCAACTTCCCCTCATCCTTTAAATGTCGGTTCTTCCGTCTCTCGCACGCCCGTTACGCCAAGGCAAAAGTGCCTACGTAGGCGAAGTCATCGTCAACGACGTTGCTTTCCCGCTCGAGGATGTCCGCTACCTTTGTCTTCCCGCCTTGATCGTCGCTGACCAGAAAGGTTCACTAGCTTCGACCGTTTTGGCACTGAGATAGTGGCTCACGAGCTAATAAGAGATGAGGAGCAACTTGGAGGCCGCGTTCCCACTTTCCACAAGAAAACCGATCCGACCATCCTGCACAAGCACTGGGAGCTGGCCCAGCACCTGCGCTTCCAGGCCCAGCCCGAAGACGCCATGGAGGTAAGTTTGGATGTGCTCAATAACTGTCACGGTGCCGAAGGGGCAGGATGGTTTGATGTGAGGTTCTACAGGCTCGAAGGAGACGTTTCTGGAGAGAATCGAGGACGGTCGTTTGAGGGAAAGGGCAGTTGGAGTGCTGGAGTCGTGGGAGACGCTTTCGCCGTGAGCTTGACTTCATTCTGCTTCCCGGATTGCCAGGGTAAGAGAGCTTATGGGTAATTTGGTGCGAGTTTGGGGGGAAGAACTGACGATCCGCACTCTTCGACGGTCGAACAAGAAATATGTTGTGCTAAGAAAGCCCGGCGCCGCATTGACTCCAGTGTTGGCTAGTGGCCTTGGTTATCTGACACACCCCTCTTTGTAGCGCGGTGGAAACAGGCATGGGTGTAATAGAGTTGATTGGTTTTCTTTTTAGTTATGATAGTAGTATGAATGAGGAATTTCAAAGTGGTAGGAGGCGACCGGCCCCCGTTGTTAGGACCTTATCGCCCTGTTGTAGGTAGAGTTAAATGCAACGCAATGGGTCACAAAGCGAATGCCGGGCTGATAACAATCGAACGATTTCGCGCTGACTCTGGCGCTGGCTATGGTCTCGTTGTTCTAATAAAACCCAAATTTATTGAACTTTTCCGTCTAAGATTTAAAGATGTAGCATTTACCGTCGTGCATGTAATGGATGCTTTGAATGAGTGGTATGAGAAACGAGGGTAGAAATGAAGAAGTAGAGAGTGTAAACCGTTTTTATGGTTTAGCGATGGACAGGGTAGAGAAGATGCATACTGCTGCTGGACTTTTAAGAGACACAGATACCGCGCTTGGGCGATGCACTGTATGCATATGTGATGAAGCTAGAATAAACGATCCACTTGCAAAACCTCTCCTCCGGTGGAGCGGCAGTGGCAGTGGAAGGAACAAGTTGACAGGTGAGAAAAGGAGGGGTGCAGCGTTGAAATAAACCTTGTCTCAATTCCGAAGTCTGTATGGACCCAAAAGGCGCATCCGTAAACACGAGCCAATACTGGCTACGTGGTTTACTGTACCAGATGACGTGGAAGTCCGCCCATTAACGTCAAGCCGGCATGTGGGATGCGAAAAAAACTACTAACACGTACGGGCTCCAAAGCTGCCGCGTCCTCGGCCGTTTTGTCCTGTTTCTCCCCTTTCCCTTGGACTTTATCGCGGCGCCCGCCAGAGTCTCGAATCACCTCTTTCTGCCACCATGCACTATAATGGATAGATATTTACTATAAAAAATCACGTCTAGGTGCATATAAAATTTGAATTTATACTCATTTTCCTGGTCTAAAAGTTATAGTGGTGTTGAAGAAACAGCCTGCATGTGCGCGATACTGCCTGTTAACGTTTCTACGAGCTGGTAGCGTTTCCAGGCACCGGTAACGTTTCCAGGCATTCTTAATATCGAGATATT